CGCAAGAAGTACCGAAAGATTCTGAAGGTTCATTACCGTGTTCACAAGAGCCCCCACTAGTCCCATTCCTGAGCCAGATCAGTCTAGTCCATACCATCCCATTCTATCTCTTGGAGGTCCATTTTAATATTATCCACCCACCTACGTCTTGGTCTCCCCAGTGGTCTCTTTCCTTCTGGCTTTCCCACCAATATCCTATTACATTCCTCTTCGTTCCCATGCGTGCTACATGCCCTCCCCATTTCATCCTCATTCTAATTATATTTGGCGAAGAGTGTAAGTTATGAAGCTCCTCATTATGCAATTTTCTCCAGCCTCCTGTCACGTCATCTCTCTTCGGTTCAAATACTCTCGTCAGCATCCTGTTCTCCCTTAATGTAAGAGACAATGTTACACACCCACACAGAACCACATTCCCCCCCCCCCTTGGCACTACAGCCCTAATGGACCTAGGCCTACCTCCATGAACTTCTCCGTTCACTTCGGTTTTTCTAGATCTTACACATTCGGTAGGACTCCTAGGGCGGTTGATCAGCTCGTCGCAAGGCTTCTACCTGTACACAAACACAGAAAAACGCACACACACACAAATACACAAACTAAATATCCATGCCCTGAGTGGGATTCGAACCCACGATCCCGGTTTCCAAGCGAGCGAAGACAGTACACACCTTAGACCGCTCGGCCACCGTGACCGGTCATGTAATAATACTAGTGTACATAAATCCAATGTGAATCAGAATTTAGTAGTAACCAAATCATGAATCCTGAAATTTAGGTTGGGGTATCAATCAGATATACAGGGTGTTTCACGACTCTAGGGCACAACTGCAGGAGGCGACCTCCCACGCCCCCGCGATCAAAAAAGTTCACACAAACACGTGTCCGACCCGGGACTGATACGGCGCTATGACCGTTTTAAACTCAGAATAGAAGGTAACGATTACTGACAATAAACGGAACGAAATAATAAACCAGCATAATACATGATACATTTAAAGTATGAATGTAAAGTTAACTTCGTGAAATTACCTTTAATTTGAATTTATTGGTGCTTAAAGCTGATTTTCGAAAATGCCACCGCCGTCCGCAACACAGGCTGCCGCTCGGTTGTGAACCGCGCCGGACATACCAACCCACCACGCCTTAGGTACCTCTCCAGTGTCGAGAACCACATGCAAAACTATAATTATGAATATTCTAATTTTTACGTTTTTAGACAACAGACGAGAAGCTAAAAGGTTCAGGACTGAAAGGTAGCAATCGTTACCCGAATTCAATCGCCCTTAATATCCTCCTGAATCAAATTTTGATTTGAAATGTGCCACATTCTCAAAGCATCTGTTAGCTATCTTCATGCTACGATTTTGCTCTGCTTTCTGGTGATGAGACAGCAACATATTGTAACGTGTTTTGAGATCGAATCTCGTCGGTCACGTGTGTAAGTTCAAATCCCACTTCTGACACCAGTGTAACGTGTTTAGACACTGATCCCACTTCTGACACCAGTGTAACGTGTTTCGTTACTGAAGACGCCGTAGAGATCGTTAATTGGTTTATTGAACAATCTACAAATAACGGCTACAATTAATTATCACAATGTGACGGGTTTCCACAGTTTACAAACCCTACAACAAAATCTCTTGACACTATCTTCCAGAGTCTTCACCTATTAATATCGCGGGAGCTATACAAATCTCCCTGAATTACACACTCCAGATATAACTGGACTACAGCACTCACTAAGTCTCGAAAGCGCACAATAAGTCTTCCGCTCGCTGACTTCTTAGTTATCGCACACTCGCAGGCTGCTACCTTGAGAACTGTTGATAACACACTCTCGTTCGACTACTACTTAACTCGGCGACTGCTGCTATATGTCAACTCGACTTGGCGACTGTTACGCTACAACTCGGAACTGTCTTCGGCGATGGCCAGGTTACAACTGACTCGTTGCTGCTGTGCAGTTCCCTTATATAGCCGCAGTGGTGCCTGTTGTTACGTCACAGTAGGAAGCGGTGACGCGTCCGTGTTTGCGTCACCGCGCGTTGCGGGTTGCATAGCTACCAGGTTGCGGGGACTCGGCTAACTTCGGCTCCGCTCGGCTCGCTTCGGCTCGGCTCGTGACGTCACCGCGGAGGTGAGTGGCGGGGCGATGACTCGCCTATTACGCGAGCGCTACGTTACCGCTGGGGAGGTAGGGGTCAACATGTCACAATATAAACATATTTTTTTCTACATTTACTTCTAGATCAGCCTCTTTACTAGCGTCAATGAAAATTTCCGTGGTTTTCTTTATGGTATCTATGTTTATCTGCCAATTTATTCACAACATCAGCATAGACCAGCAGCTGATGTGTCCCATCTGGTTTTTCTGGACCTTCCTAATGGCATATTCTACAGAAAAATTAAAAAGCCATGGCGATAAATCATCTCCATGTCCTAGATCATTCTGAATAGGGAAATCATCAGACAAGTACCGTATTTACGCATGTATAGGCCGCGTGCGTGTATAAGCCGCAGCACAATTTTCAGACAGAAATTATAGAAAAAATAATTTTCTTGGAATATTATTTCAGGAGTATTACACCCTGTATTACTAATTATGAATATATTTTTTTTTAAATGAAGTGTAATTTCGAATATTTCGAATATAAGCCGCACCCCAGTTTTCCTCTTGAATTTTTGGCAAAAAATGTGCGGCCTATACATGCGTAAATACAGTATTTACCTAATACGGGCTTTACCATACGTTTCATCTAAACACATTTTAATCAGCCTAACTAGTTTCGTGGTTATCCCTAACTTTCCCTCCTAACTGAATCACAGACTTTCTTGAAGTCTATAAATAGCTGATATACTGTCTCATTGTACTCTCATTTTATTTCTGAGGAGTGGAGATGGATTTCTGGGCTTTGATACCGTGCAATGTGGAAGCTAATTAGAAACGTTTAGGAGAAGGTTTCTGCCTACATCTTTAGTGGAAAATTTTCCTTACGTTTAATTAAGCGCCAAGTCATGTAGATGTAAGGGAATGAAGGTGTGCTTTTTCATTTTTAACTTCGACACTAGGTAGAGGTAAAGTTGCCAGCTTTACGCTCGGGCTGTTTCACCCCAGATACTCATTACTCAGTGTGGGGGCTCTGAGCCGCAAGAACGTATTTTAATGTGAAAGACGAAAATGCGATAACAGTGGAACAGTGCCTGAGAATGGCCAAGTAAGGCCGAAACATATAGCAATTTAATTGTAATTTTAATATTATTTTAAATAAGGATAAATGGTAAACAGAACTGCATTAAAGACTGCATCACCAGTGATTGAGACTAGCTCTTTCTAAGGGGCCCAGCTGAGTAGGTTTATCCTTCCCTATCCACCTGAAGACGGAGACAGATCCAGTCTCCGAAACGTCGTGGGTTTTTTTTTGTATTTTATATACCAGACGATGGGTGAAGTCCAAAATAAGCCAAAAGAAGTACAAGATATTCATGTGTTTCGTATGGCTCTTACAATGAACAGGAACAATTTCCCTCAACACCATTAACCGGCTGAATTTTGTAATGGAGATTCGATACTTTCTGGGAGATAGGCGCCGAATTTTTACCTTCTATTTAGTTTCAGGTTTTAGATAATTAAGGGTTCATTCACTTTTGGAGATGAAGACTGAACTGAACCCGACATAGATATTTCTATTGTGAATGTTATGAATTGTAATTCTTCCTTAACACGATCAGGTAAATGCTAATTTCAGGCCCCGACCACTTCCTGCGCACTATTTCTGAGTTAGCATTTCACGAAAACAATTCCATACATTCCAGTCTTATTCGGTAGCACTGGGCATTTGTACGTACACCAGGCAACATTACTGTCTTTTGGGATATGATACCATGTAGACTGTCAGACAGGTACCAACGTTAGGGAGCAATTTGGGGCCTCCACTTTCAAGTTACCCTGAAGATGCATGCAGTAGGTTCCACTGTAACGTTGGTACCTGTCTACACAGTCTACAGTCTACACAAGAAAAACGTAATCTCCATAAGACACAGAATAACATCATATGAGCTGCGATGGCGTGTAGACTTGTAGAAGTGTACCGATGTTTCTGACGAACGTATTGCCTCCATCTTCAGCGTCGTAAACTCTGTCGGCGAATTTTGAGCAGAGTGTGTGGCATTACATCTTTGAAAATAGTGTTCTTCCTAGTGACCGTTGAGAAGACCTCCAATTAAAAAAGTCTGCGCAAAGATGTATAGACTCACACAGGACTGACCTCGGCTACGTTACTTTAGAATTCTATCTTACTCGACGGATCATAATTGCTGGTTACTGTGTGTGTGGAAATACAATGAAATCCGTGTCATCGGTATAACAGGTTTTGATAAAATCGACCTGTCGCTTTTGGGCCCCTAGTGCGCATACCTTTACGTTCCTGAAGAGTCAGCTCAAGCAGTTTTATTCAGACAGATCGTCTTCACAATGTACTGAAATTTAATCAAGTGTCTATTGCACTTTTTCGAAACAAAAATGCTAGTTTAAAATTTGGGACCTGTCTGAAGGACCCCTATTTTTTGGAATCAGGATGTTCATGACCTTAGGACACCGACTTATGACTGATAAACTCCTCAGTACCGAAGATGAATGAAATCCTGCCAACCGCTGACGCGCTTGCGAAGGACGCACAGATACATGCATACAGACGCCACACGAAGATCCATTTTTTATTATCCAAGAAAGGGGGGGGCGTCAGAACCTGTAAATCTGAAAAATATATGGATATATATTTTTTTTGCCACTGCAGTTCTTTGTCATATCTGAGCCTGTGAGACGGTACGAGGTAGTTTTTGAATTCATGAAATGCGTTTCTGAGCGCCTGTCGTTTCATTCACCCTTCCGGGCCGTGGACAAAGATCGGATCGACGCTGTGACGTCTTATTGCGCGACGCTGCGATGGTCGTGTTCCATATTGTACCTCGTGTGGGTAGACTTCGAGGGGGGCCGGTCGGATGGGGGGGAAATTGAGGCCGCCTGTGTTCACTTGCTGATCGGGGTGCGAAATGGTGAGCTTCTAGAAGTTTCACTCCGCCAGTGTCGAGCGCACGTGTTTCTCATCTGGTGAAGAGTGAGTGTACAGCTGAGGTTACCATTTGCTGGTACGTATTCGTGATTCAGTGCAAGTATCGTGCAAATGTTGATTGCTTTCGTTTTTGTAACGTTTCGAGCTAGTTACGAATGGACAATGATTTGGTTCCTTAAATTAGCTGATATGTAAGTACACGATGTGCTGAGTGACCACGGAAGAGAATTCTCAGTATAAAGACATAATATCTCGTGTTGCAACACACGGTGAAGCTTTATAAGCATGGCTGAGATTCTTGGCAAAATCGGTAATTGTTTCTGTCTTGTATTCGACAGATGTTCGGTTCGAGTCTCGGTCAGAACACAGACTATTCCTGCTGAGTTCTTTTTAGTTTCTTTTTTCTCCAGAACGTACATGAGTATGCTGGGATAGTACCTCTAATCAGGCCACTGCCGCTTCCCTCCACGCATTCTCTAATTAACTGTCCACCTGTAAACTACCCAACGCTACAAGCCTACGGATCTGAGTGACCGACAGCGGCGTTAAAAATTGAGATAAATAAATAAAAATTTAGTGAGCATTGAATGTTATATAAATGGAGAACGATTAATTGACAACAGTCAGCAGTCTTTCAGCGCTTCGCTAAATGGATCAAATATAATTTAGATTACCAGTATTACGGTCTTTTGGGTTATGATGCCGTGTTGTTCCAGAGGAACGTTTGTACCCGTCTACGCATCCACAATGCATCGAATCCCAGAAGACTTATATATCGAAGGAACCTATTATCGGATATTAAGGGTATGGTCTCCCGACATGCAAAACCATGTAGTACTGAAACAGCCCGACGTTTCGGAGGAACATACTGTCTACATCTTCAGAGTCCAAATCTAAATCGAGGAAGAAACCCCTGTAAACTGAGCTTCGTCCCTGAAGATGGGGGCAATGTGTTCCTCAGAAGCGTGGGGCTGTCTCCGAAATAAATGGCGCTTCAATCCAGGCGACAGTAATGCCCACAGCCATCGCTCTGAGAACCCCAAATCCAGCTTCAGAATCGCATAATTCTGCCTACTCCATAAAACTGCGGCGGTGCGTGTTGCAAACGTCACACTTCAGCCCATCGCGCCCCATATCCGATTGTAGATTTATCTGACAAGGAAATTAAAATTATGAAATTAAGCATTTGGCAGAAGTGCCTCTGTAGTTTGTTGCTAATCCCCGAGTTATCTTTCCTGAGATGTGGTGTTGTTACGGGACCTGACGGATGAAGACGCGACGACCGTTGACCACACCGAGTATGAACCCATGGGCTCCGAAACTCCCTGTTTATATAGTGATGAATGACCTGACGCACTGACATACCACCTTGCATTTCGTCATCACTGGCAAAAAATACCTGTAACAGCGTTGCGTAGTTTGGTATGCGGTCACTTCAGTGGGAGGTCGCCAGTCCTTCCCTGTGAAATCGATTGGAAAGATGCAATCGATTGTCTAAGATCAAAGGTCCACCGCGATGGAAGCCAATTAGCGGTTTCAGGTATCAATCTTGCTGTGACACCATGTCCGCGGACTACACCCGGCTTGAACTTCAGACGTCGTTTCAGCTCGGAGCTAAAATTAGACACGGCAGAGCCAGCGCGCTATATTGAGTCGCAGTCAGATACAGTCAGAAGGGCACGCGAGGGGCGCACTCAGAATTATCATAACGAACTGAGGGAATGCGAAGAGAAAGCCTCTCACTACTTGCGGAAAGTAGGACATTTCTGTTTCTAGTCGCGACGTTTGTTTTACTATAGAATAGACAAGTTCTTGAAAGCACAGCGGTAATTACATTGCCTGTGATTATCTGATTATTATTAGTATTATTATTATTTCTTATTTTCTCAAAATAATTATAAATGAAAATACTTCACCCCAGAATATACTGTGTACATGTCTCGCTAGCATGGATACCATGAAACGCACTCATTGTTGTCACGGCTCGTTACCATTGTTGCTATAAAACACATGCAGATTATTTGAGTCGCCATCTCTGTGCTTTTCTTATGGAAGAAATATTGGGAAGGAAGTCGCTTGGGCCAGAAACCCCTGCACGCAACAGAAAAATTAACAATTTTCTCGGAGTTGTCTCTCCAAGAGAAATATATATATATTTTTTTATCAATTATATTTTCCCCACGACGAGCTCGGAACAGCCAGACATCGGCCTACATAAAGCTAAAGTTGTCTCTACGCTTAGCTATAAAGCACTACGCCGTGATAGTGTATTGGGGAGTGGATGTACAGATCCACATTCTCTTGACCTTGGCACTAGCTGGAGGTGAGTGGTCAGCTTCACATCCCTGCTGCTTTACCCCTGGGGAAGGCGCCTCCGGTACCTATTTGATAGGAGGCTGGGTGGGCCCCAGAACTGGTCTGGATCATATAGAGGAAAGAAAATTCTGACCTTACCGGGACTCGAAATCCGACCCCTCAGTCGTCCAGCCTGTAGCCAGTCGCTATACCGACTGAGCTGTCCCGGTTCACGACATCGGCCCATATATATATAATTCTCAGAATAATATTATTATTATTGTTTTGTAGTTCATTTAACAAAACTGTCAGTAGCTGACACAATATAGCTTCGGAAGACAGGATGATTAATGAATGGGAAAGGATCTACAAGGAACAGGTCGTGGCCTAACTTAAGGTGATATTCCGACATTTCCCTGGAGTAACTGGAGAAATCTACGAAAAGTATAAGTCACGATATTCACTCTCTCGACCGAGATTCGAAATGGGCACTTGTCGAATATATGTCATACTTTCAGTCAGCTGGCTCGGTAATTTGGTGACAAGCACACCGAATTCTTCCACTTTGAAGATGGAGACGAGCGCCTCTGTCACGCTACACGGTCCCACATTACAGACGGCAGTAATTAGTTTTGTGTGCCGTAGTGTTTTGACGTAGTAATTTGGGGTCTGCGCCTGTTTCAGACCGAGAGGCGTCATGTCTTCTGGAAGATCAGTGCTGGGGCGCCCCCGACGGACCAAAGTGTACGACTGCAACTACACGGCCGGGGAGCGCTACTACAAACCGGTAGTGGAGTCACTGGACCGGAAGACTAGGCCAACTGGAAGAATAACTCCTGACAACTTCGCGACGCTGAGATCTTCACTGGCTTCAGACGAATTTGAGGCGCCAAGTTTCCGACGCCCTCCCCCTAGACTAGATGACGATTATGACGTCGAAGAACCACGCAGGAATGTTAACTTAGGTCTCATCGATGAATTCGACTCAATTTTTGAAAATCGTAACAGATCCCTCAGGGGGGAAATTTCACCGAGCAGAAACCTCAGATCAGCAGAAGACGAAATCGATCAGGAGATTTCGTCATATTTCAAACGTGCCAAAGAATCACGAGCTGCCAGACAGACATTAGAAGATGAATTTGAGACAGAAGTGACACCCAGAGGCAGCAAACGGCGTCCAATTGTAGATTTCCAGGAAAAACTCCTGGACACGGTCGGGGTAGACAAAGCTCGACTGACGATTCAGGATGACCCCTTCTTCAAGAAGCGTACACTCAGGGTTACAACTGAGGACGACGAAGAGGCGCCATCCCTGACGAAGTGGACGTCTCTGAACCGTCGCAGTCTGTTGGACGGCGACACTGAGGCTTCCGGTTCAGCCGCAGCAAGGGCTCGTAAGTCGCGGTCACGCCTTCAAGACCTGGACGCCGAAATTGAGGAACTGGCGGGTCGCTCTGCGGCCCGCGAGAAGAGGGCTGCCCAGCTGAGGGCCCTGGTGAAGGAAAACGAGGCGAACGCTACCGAGAACTCCGTAGCGAGTAGCAGGGTTGTTCAGAAAGCTGCTATCAGAGCCGAGAAAAAAACGGTCACTTTCTAATTGTACCTCAAGGAAGAAAACGTTAAAAACCTGAAACTGATTGATCTTATTCAATAAAAGTAGAACTACGTGATAATATATCCCGCTGCATCGCATCAAAACATCACGCAATTGAGGATACTGTATTTGAGCGGATCTGTCAACAAGAGGTTAGAAGTTTATGTTTCAGGACAAATAACTTAATACGTTTTAAAAAATTCTAATTTCAGTGGCAACTTTTACGCTTCGGAAATGGCACTGTTCGCTTTTAAAGCTGCAACACAATGAGGCCAAAGCTATGAAGCCTAAGGTGCATGTTAATAATACTTAAAAATCCAGTTCCAACCTCACAGAAAACAAACTGTATCTCAATTACAAAGGCAGTCGTTTCATGCCGTACAGGATGAAAAATCGCTGTTCATTCTCATACGAAACATACACAAACTCTTTGAGCAAAATGAAAGCAGGTTTTACATTAGTAACCACTGGACTTTAAGGAGCTGTAGGAAAGAAATGGGAATTCATTTCGGAATTTGATGCAGGGATCTGTATTACAGAACTTGTTCTCCGTGTCAAGAACCGAGGACAAGTTTGAGTTTGTTTCATTTTCAGTCCTGCATCGACGTTTCGTCTCTTTGCGCCATGAATCTGACGTTAATAGAATATTAGTATGTCTACACATTTAAACTCGAATCTTAGGAGCCTTAGAAGCAAACAGTCTCATAGAGTCAGACTCAGCTTGCATCACACGTATCAGCAGAGATCTGGGATGTTGTCATTATTAACAACGTTTAATTTTAAAACCCCTTTGAGAGTTCTGTCCCCACATTTTTTCCCCTTTGAGTGTAATTTTATATGTTCACAGTTTCGCTATAACTGGGTGAAACACATCCTAAAGACCCGCTGAGATCTAATGATTCCCAGCCCCGCCTGTGTGTGACATAACAAGCCTTAGCGCGGGCGGAAGAATGTAGCACTCTTGTCAGTCGCAATCCGAACCGAATGCACCTGGCCAACAGGTGCAAAGAGCTCTGGTAAGGGGGCTCATCAGATCCCAGCGGGTCCGTAGTTTTGCGCGCGAACCAGCCAGCTCTTTAATACGTCTCGTAATATCTCGAAGAACGCGTTATGAAGAAACAGTGACGTAGGGGGTGAGTTTCTTAATCAGTAAGATTGAGTACTTAACGTATGACATGACGCGCCGTGAGATATGTGATCTAGCTGTACAGAAATGTACATAATTATTTGACGGGACTGTACCAGCCTCCCAGTTATGCAGTTCTCAACATGTACAAAGGGTCATGAACCGGTTACAATCCGGAATATTTTGTAACAATTTATTTCATAATGTGAACAAACCCCTTGCAGTGTTAAGCTTCTACATTTATTTGTCATGGAGGAAGGGTTTTGTAATTGTGTACACACTGACATGTCAGTGCCTTCAATAAAATGTTCTCGTGAAAACCTCAGTACATACAAATTCCATGAACATTCATTAGGGACGAATGATGGTTGTGATGAGGAAACCCCCGCAGTTCCAGGTGAGCACTACCAATGCTTATTTAATACGCTGTCAGTAACACAGACTGTGTAGCTCCGGATGATAAGTGAATGATGAATTGTCCGGAAGCTTTCTGGAACTCCCTTAAGGCGAGTTCCGGAGTGACTGCGGAAAATCTCAGCATGGTCGGTGTCCAGGGCAGTCATTCGAACCCGTGACATCCTGGCTCTGTACAGTTGCCGTCTGCTACCCCTCGCATTCCCCGCCAGACACACACGAATTCATATTAAAATGAACAAGACTGCAATCATACACGTTCTGATGTGTGGGTCGATGTGTCCTGAGAAACAGGCCTCAACCTGGCACTGATGACTGACACAAGGCTTGACAAAGTTATATAAACAGCAACTTCGTAACTTGTATTGTCCATAAAATATTATTAGGGAGATGAAATTGAGATAGGTGGGACATGTAGCACGCAAGGAAGAGAAGAGAAATCAGGCAAATCTGAAGAGAAAATGATCACATGGGACATACGCGTAGATAGGAAGGGTACTATCACAGTTAATCTTAAGGAAGTAGGGAGTGAGGATGGGGACTGGATTCAGGTGCCTCAAGAAAGGGACTACTCGTGGGCTGTTGTGAACACTGTGATGAACCTCCATGTTCTATAAAGGCGGGAGATTTCTCAGGCTACTAGTCGCTGACTTCCCACCTCTACGGCCCGGGTTCGAGCCCAGGTCAGGTCATGTGGGATTTGTGTTGGACAAAGTGGCACTGGGGCAAATTTTCTCCGAGTACTTCGGTTTCCCATGCCAATTCTTATTCTACCGCCTGCTCCACTTTCATCATCATCTATCATCCGGGGCTGGTACAACAGGCCAGTTAGTGGGCGACGTATCGACTGGACCAAAATACTTAAAAAAACTAGCATCTGAGCAACTATCAGCTTGTCAAGGTAGACGCAGCTCAATGGTGTTTCTTAATTATTGTTTTCAAACACTTTAGAAGAACAGAGTACTGTCTTTTTTATTTTAACATTCTGTATTTGGGAAAAATCCTGACGCTTCGGAGCAACACATCGCTACTATCTTCAGGGTAGAAGAGTAAGCCAAGCAAGAAACCAACAAGA